CGCGCCGCCGTAACCCCTTCCTCCCCGCGCGCCCCGCGCGCCCACCACTCACCGTCGATGTCCCCCAGGGTCAGCTCGTCGCCCAGCTCCGTGAGCGCCTCCATGGTCTCCAGACCGACCAGCTCGCCACTCTCGTCCATCGCCCGGCTCGGCGCAGAGGCCCCCCTGCCGTCCCGCTCAGGGAGACACGGGGGCGGTACCGCCGCCACCGCCCATGACACCCAGCAGCCCCCGCCCGGTACCGCCTCACCGGCCGGTGCCAGCAGCCGCCATGTTTGCGCCGCGCGGGAGGGGCGGGGCGGGATTCCCCCGCCCCCACCCGCGGCCCTGTAGCTCCGCCTCTCGGCCGCGCGCCCCCTTGTTTGTTGTCAATGGGACCAGGTTCGTGGCGGCCAATCGGCAGGAGGAGCGGCGCGTGGGGTGATGGCGCGTCATCGATCAGCAGCTCGGATTTGCATAGAGAGGCCACGCCTCTCGCGGCCTGGTAGCGAATGCGTAGCGTAGCCTCCGGGTCCCCAGGCCAACCAGATTCCCTGCGCTTAAAGGAACCGCTTCTTTTTCCGTTGGGTCGGCTCCGCTGGTTCTCTAGTCACCGGCTGGGGACTGAAGGGTTAACAGGTCCACCTCTCCCGTCCTCCGCCTGCGGGTCGCCCCCGGAGCAAGTTGTGAGCACATTACGTCATCTGCCCAGCGGTCCCCCTCCCCTCGCCCCCTCGAACCCCGGCCTGTGCGTGGGAGAGCGGGTGGGATCTAACCTGGCCGCCCACCCGGAGCGCCGTGCCAGCCGCGGTGCTCCCATCCCCCGACAGAGGCGGAAAACGAGGCTCGCCGCGGCCACGTGCTGGGCGCATTTTGCCGGCCCGCCGCGCCCCTCACGCGGTGGCTCGCCGCTGCACGCTGCCCATGCCGGCCCAGCCCGGCCCAGCCCGGCCCAGCCCGGCCCAGCCCGCCGCCTCCTCCGGAGGTGGCCCCCCGAAGCACTCACACTCCTTCCAGCACCTCCCTCCCGCATCATACAGCTGGTCACGATGTAAACAAAATGTGCAAACTTCTAGGAATTTACCCTAAAGAATAAAATAGGGGTGCTCAAAGAAGTGTGTGTTTCGAGACGTTCATCGCGATGTCCTCTGGGACTCGGAAAACGGGGTGTCGGGCAGGGGCTGGGTGGATAAATAGGGCCACACCACTGGGCAGCGCGTGGCAGGGCAAGTCATGGGCATAAATGTGCATTTACTGACAAGCGTTTCACAATGTACTAACGGGAGTTAAGTTTACTGCGGACCTAGAGAGGCAGTTGCTGCTTTGTGGTCAACACAAAAGAGCAGGCCGGCTGCGTGGCCGCAGAGGTGGCTCGTGCTCTAGGCCAGTTTGTTCTCTATAAAAGGGGAGACGGCCCTCCCAGTTGTGAAGATTAAATGGCTGAGTCGTGCATTGGTTTGACGATCTTTATTGAACATCTCTGGCAAGCAAAGGGCTCCTGCCCTCTGACAGCATCCAGTCCAGCCAGGAAAAGATGTGAAACACAAATGACACAACGCCACAGGCCATCAAGGGAGAGAAAGGGCTGAGAGGCTGCAGCTGGGGTTGTCGGCAAGGATGCTGGCTGGCATTTAAGCTGAAACTTTTGAGAACTGGGTCTGGCACAGCCGGTGGGAACCCAATAGCATGGACAAGGGCCTGAGGCAGAGTAGCTGGCTCCAGGCCTGGCACACACTGTGTGCCCAAACACTGCAACTGAAAATGCAGTGTCTGCGTTCTCATGTCACAGGCAAGAAGGGGGGTTGGCCAGTGGCCTTGACCCAGCAAGGTCTAGGGGTGTAGTTGGGTATCGCGCAGATTTTGCTTCCTTGGTATTTCAGTGCTGCTTAAAGCACTTTTCATAACGAACATGTGTAAATAAGTAAAAGCATCTAACCTGGGCGGGGGTGGGTACACCAGGAGGCTTGGCGTGGACAGCACCACTCCCCCTGAAAGAGACCAAGCCTGCTGCCCCGCCTGGACCATGCCACCTCCTACGGTGCCTCTCAGTGGCCCTCGTGGGGCTGCCCACACTGGGTGACTGTCCGCTGGCCTACCGTGACTCACTCTGGCCCAGTGCCCTCCCATCCCGGAGCCCTGCCCAGGGCCGCCAGAGTACCAGGTCCAATCGATGGGCAGAGTTCCCAGCTGGACATGCCCAGGGATCACAGCACTAGAGCAGCGAGCACAGATGCAGGTGGGACAAGTGAGGAGAAAGACGGCAGCGCTAGCCCCAACCTGAGCGAACACTGCAGCCCTCTGCCCTGGGGGCCCCAGCACCCCTTCCGGCCACACCACGCCCTCGCCAGGATGGGGGGGGCAGCCTTGCACAAGCTGCTCCTCCAGGCCTGGGGTCTTTGTCGGCAAAGGGAGGGACTGGACGAGGCCTGGTGCTCAGATGGCCGCCACTTACGGGCACCCCCCGCGCCCCTCCAGGAGCTGGCCGGCGTCCACATGTATCTCCGAGCCCTCCCTTTCGGGCCTCCACCCCACCCCCAGGGGCTGCCCCCACCTCCTCACTCTGCCAGGACTCAGTTCGCTGTCACTTCCCCCAGGATTAAGCAAAAAGCATAAGCCCCACTGCTTGACACTGGTTGGCAGGTGGCATCAGGGCAAGTGTCAAAGCTTTGGGGTCTGAAAACGTTAACTGCCATACGAAAAATCAGAGGAGCCGAAGCTGAAAGAACCCTGTTAAGGGGCAGGTGAGAAGACCCGGAAAGAGAAAGCAGACTCAGACAGGGGCCGAGAACCAGGGCCAATAGTCCTAGAAGCCGGCAGGTCATCCCCAAGAGCCGCCAACATCATCTCTAGGCATCTTGTCCCCAGAGGACATCTGGCAACAAGGGGACATTTTTGTTCGTGCCACCTAGAAGACTGCCACTGGCATCCGGGGGCAGAGGCCGGGAGCGCCACTGAACACCGGGCAGCGGCAGGACGCCCCTCACACCCCAGCAAGGGTCTGGACTCTGGAAACCCCCACTCCCAGCGGCCCTGGTCCCTGCGTCACAGCTCGGCTTCTGGCTGGCGGTGCTCAGTCACCAGCCAGCCCCGGCTGTGAGGAGGCTGGACCTCGGTCCCTTCCAGCCCGGGGCAGCAGGGAATAGGCAGGCTGGGGACAGTAAGCCTCGAGTAAGCGTCCGGAAGGGAAGGTGAGCAGAGCGACTGGGCCCATGAGGGCAGGAGCAGAGTCAGCCAGGGTGGAAAGAGGCTGAAAGTGAAGACAAAGGAGCCAGCTAGGGGTGCCCCCCTCCCCGGCCACAGAGGTGAGGACAGGTAAGAGCAGCCCACCTGCTGCGCACACCTGGGGGGGGGGGCTCACAGCTGTAGGGACAAAGGAAGAGCGGTGGGAGAAAGGCAGCTGTCAGGCAGCGCCCGGCCTCAGAGCCAGCTTAGGGCTGCGCAGGGCGCAGGGGCTCGGCCGGCCGCAGGAAGCCACCGCACAGGGAAGGCTGCGATGCAGCGAGTCTGCAGGGGAGACTCGGCTCCTACTGGGGTGGGGCGGGGGCTTGCAGCGGCGTGTGTCTCCGCCCTGCTGAGAGGCAGCTCCCGCTTGGCGAGGGCCAGAGAGCAGGCATCGCCACCAGGGCGGCCGCCTGCTGGGGCAGCCTCTGCAGCATCCAGGAGTGGCCCAGGCCCCGCTCACTGGCTCAGGACCCGGAGCTGCCGCAACGAACACAAGTGGACGCTTCTCCGGGCTGCTCAGGACAGCCCAGGTACCCAGACAGAGCTCGCGTCGCTCTGCCCGGCCCACTCCGCGGCATGGCTAACTGCCTCTCTGCGCCCCTCGGTCTCAGGGGGACCACTGGCTTGCGTAAGAGAAACATCTGCCTGCGAGAGCCCCTGCGGTGCCGGGTGACCACACTGCTTGGGCTAACCACCTCCTGGGGCTCTGGGACTCCCCCTCGCCTTCCTAACACTGACCCTTTGTCAGGACGGTGCTGGGCAGTGAGAAGCCTGAAACAGACCCCACTTTTCCTGCCTCATGAGTGCCTGGGGCGCCCCTAAAGGGCAAGAGCCTCTTGGTCTCTACACGTCTGAGGGTCACTGGTGCAACCCAAGCTCCTGAAGGGACTCAGAGCTCCCTGGGACCCCAACCAGTCTCAGCGGGCCCGGACGCTTCGATGGCCTTTATTGTGCCTCTGCGGGGCACTGGCGCTGGAGGCCTGGCAGTGTGCGACCCGGCCGGGCCGGCGCAGATGTGGCACCCCCCACTGCCGAGTCTGGCTCTGTGGCCTCCCCAAGAAGGGTGGCAGCCAGCTGGCCAGCGGCCCTCACCCTCCGGAAGGGCCCAGCCCCACCCCTCCTGCCTCCCAACACCGCCTCAGGGTAGCTCGGCAGCACAGTGTCCTCAAGGCCCCGACAGCCCCAGGCCAGGAGGCCCCCCTGGAGGAAATCTGGCCCTCCGGGCTCAGGCCCTTCAGCTGGGGCTGAGTCGTGCGGCGGGGGAAGCTCAGCGTCGGTCCCCAGGCCGACTCACAGGCACCTGGCAGCACCGGTGGCACCCAGGCCCTGCCGCCTCCTGGCCCTTGAGCTGCCCCAGGCTATAACTCAGACTGGGATCTCGAGATGCGTGGGCCTTTCCGGATCTCTTTCCGCCTCTCCTCTTTCTTCCTGCGTTTCTCCTCTTCCCTCAGGGCCTTCTGGAAAGGGTCGGTGCTGGAAATGAGCTGAGGGAAGAGCAGAGTGGTCTGGTTTAGGGCGAGCCAGGCTGCTGGCCAGCAGGCAGGCTGCTGAGACGGGGCCTGCCCTCAGGGGGCCCCAGGGGTGGCTGGGGAAACGGCTGCCTTGAAGGGTAAGCAGGAGCTTGCAAACAGTGTTCCGGGCACAGGCCCGGGCCCTCAGAGAACCACAGCAGACTCCCCTCGGGTGAGGGGCTGGGCGCTCAAGAAAGGCTGGCCTGAGACCTGTGAGCGCCCCAGCCCCGTGACAGGCAGCACACACGGGGCAGAGGGGCCAGACGCCAACCTGGCAGAGCCGGGAAAGGCAGCGCGAGGGAGGAGGACGGCGCCCCGGCTCAGCCTCCCCAGCGGGCGGCTGGTGGTGCCAGTGAGGAGGGAGTGCGGGCAGGAGGGCTCTGACAGGCGCCTTCAAGGGCAGCCCCAGCCCCCTGCTCGCCCCAGATCAGCCCACCCAAACCCAGGGTTTCTGTGACACCTACGTGAGCAGGCACCCCCGGTTTGCACCTCCAGATCTAGATGCCTACGTGGTCTTGCACTAGATGTCCTTACCTTGGCATGGACCTGTCTCCCCAAACCCAGACCCTGTCATCGTCCTGATGAGCACGCTGGCTGCCCACACCCCAGGCTAGGCGAGCAGGGTAGAAAGCCAGGGCCTGCCCAGCACCCCTGCCCACCATGCTGAGCCGTGAGCAAAGCCTGCGCATTCTGGCCTGGAGGCCCTCTAGAGCGGCTGCTCTCCTGCCCCTCCAGCCAACACCTGGCACCCGCCCACCGCCCCACCCCTTCTCTCCCAGAGGTCTCCACACCCCCCGGGCCACCTCAAGCCCGGCTCTCTTCAGAATACAGGTGTGGCTTAGCGCTTCCCAGCTTCCCAGCCTCCCACTGCACAGGCTGACCCGCGCCTGCTCACCATCTCTCCCTCCGCTCCTGTCTGGCTTGCGAGCTGCAGGCTGCGGCCCAGGCCCGTCCAGCCAGCTCCCTCGTTAGCTCCAGCTCAGCTGTCCCGGCCCTGATTCCCGGCCGGAACTGCCCTGCTTGCTCCTTGGAGCTTCTCCCTCACGGCCAGCCGACACCCACTCACGTCCCTGCCCGAGGCCCACTGAGCCAGGCGCCGCCCTGCCCGACCTGCAGTACACTCTGGACAGGTTTCTCAAGTGGAGAATACCACCACCGAGATCCGAGAGACAGTGGCTCCCGCTTAGGGAGATATGCCTGTTTACTCCTAGCAAGTTTCACAGACATCTGCTGAAGAGAGAAGAAAATAGGCGCATCCCCTGTGGTAACTGGGAAGTGGGGTGACACGCCAGACGTGAGGCCCCGAAAGGGTGAGTGACTGTTCAGCTCACACAGCAAGCAGGAGCCCCAGGGGGACTAGGCCCCGGGCCTGTGTTTGCTCGACCAGAGGCTGCCTCCCACCCCTGCAGGCTGGTTCTGGCCCTCTGGGGAGAGGGAAAGGAGTGGGCAGACCCCAAGCCCTCGGCTCTGGCAGGGAAGTCAGGAAGCCCGGAGAGGCTGGCCCTGCCCACCGAGGGCGCCAGCCAAGCTGGGGCAGAGAAACTGCCCTTCTCTGCTCCCTTCCCCTACGCCTGGCTCCTGCCTTCTCATCTTCCAGCCTGGCCTCCGGCTACCCTTCGGGAAGTCTGCGGGGTGTCACCCCCATAAGGGGCAGCAAAGAGCCCCTCACTTCTGGATGGGCTTACAAGGTGCCTGACTGCTTCCAGCAAAGCCCTCCACCGTGCTCTGCCTGCTCCTGCCACAGGCCTCACCCCAAGGAGCGCAGACACCCCCTGTGGCCCTGACCCCTTAGCCCGGAGGCTTCCCATGGCCTGTGCAGGGTCCGTCAGCCCATCACTGAGCGCACTCCTAGCCACGACACGCAGACCTCAGACAGAGCCTGGCCAAACCCAGGCTGCTCACTCCATCCTTATGGCCGAAACTGCTACAAAGAATCAAGCAGGTTGCGCCAATCTGGGCGCGCCCTTCAGGGGCCTGGCAACCCAGGAGCATCCCAGGGCACTCCCCCACCCCGCATACCTCTTCACTAGCCTGCCGCATACCAGACCTTGCTTCCGCCTGGCCTCGTGGGAAGGGAAGGCGGGGGAGGCAGCTTCCACAGGCGCCCTCCCACACCCACCCACCCACGGCCTCTGCCCACCGCCCTCCCAGGCAAGCAGAGGCCCACCGCCCTCCCAGGCAAGCGGCCAGGCCGGGGGCTGGTGTCCCTGCCCCCACCTTATCAACAGGTGAGCAGGCTGTCCTCTCCAGGGAGCCCACAGGGCCCCCCCCCAAGCCCCTGCCTCCCTCCCATCCTGAAATCCAGCCTTTTGCCTTGGCTCTGGCTACTGCTCTGGCCTCACTCCTCAGTTCCCCACCCTCAATGCGCTTCCCACACAGAACCTTTGTGCTTGCCGCTCCTTTAGCCTGGAATATTCTTCCCCTGAACCCACAGCTGGCTCCCTCCCTTCTTTCAGGTCTTTAAAGTCTCAAGTGGAGAGCTCCCCACCCCTTTGCTCCCTAAAGTCGGGCTGCCTCTGGGCTGGGCACCAGGCAGGGCACCCAAGAAGCAGGAGCCTCTAGACCAGACCGACACAGAGGGCGGCCGGGGACTCAGGGAGCCCCAGGCCTGCTGGAGACCGGCCCACGCTGGAGACCAAACGCGGGCCCCAGCCCTGGAGCAGCGGCCCCGAGTCTGTCAAGAGTGCGACACCCAGACTCACTCCCTGGGTGCCCGGCCCCGCCGGGTGACCTGCAGAGCAAGGGCCAGCGCCACAGTGACCAGCGCCGGTGTGGCGCCTTCGCTGGGCACCTTCAGCCCGCCTGGCCCTGCCTTCTCACGTCCGGTATTGGAGTCAGGAAACACTGGGGCACCACCTCAGCGCCACAGGAAGGGCTGGCAGCTACTCTGGTGGGAAAAGCACCGCCCTGGTGCCACCTGAAGCAAAATCAGGGGCTCACAGGGCCCTGGGTCCAGAGGGCCCCCTCGGACTCCCCAGCCCTCAGGCTGAGGACCGGACTGGGGAGGACTCCCGCCGGCCCAGCGACGGGCCCTCAGTGCGCCTCGGCTGCTTGGAGGGGCGGCGTGGCTCGTGCTGAGCGCCCACTGCCCTCTGGACCAGCCGGGGTGCCAACACCAGCCTCAGCGGGAGCCCCAGGCCTGAGTCTCTAAGGAGCCCCCGACGGGTGGCACTTCCTACAAGCCGGCCCAAGCTTCTAGGGTCCGTGTGCTCCGCTGGGAGGGGCGTGTGCCCGGCTCCCTGCCCTCGGCCCTCGGCCGCTCGGGCCCTGCCTGCTGCACTGAAGTAAGTCCCAGCCGAGAGGCCTCCTAGGGACCCCTGACTCAAGCGTCGAAGGGTGGCAGCCAGCCAGCCCAGCGGCCGCCTGGGGGACTGACTCCTGGGAGCCCAGTCGGACCACACGGGTGGAAAGCTGCCGCGGCGCAGACAGCTCCCTCGCCGTCTCCCTGGCTGGCGTGGCGGCCCCAGCGCCCGGTCACTGCTGGAAGGCAACAGCGACAGATCAAAGGTGGGGTCACCGTTGTGACTGACGATGGACAGGCCGGGCCACTCGTTTAGATGCCCACAGCGTGGCCTAGTTCTGATGACACCGACCAGCACCAAAATGCTGACCAAGGCCCGGCCCCCAAACGCACCGGCGCACAGGACTGGCTGACTACCGGGGTCCAGGGCTGGACACCGTGGCACGAGGCCCTCGGGACTGACCAGGTGGCTGAGCTCGCGGGGCGCCGAGAAGGCAGCCGTGTGGCGTCTGCACGCGCCATGGAAGGGCCCTTCTGGATGGGGAGCTGCAGGTGAGGACCAGGGAGGCTGGAGGAAAGCGAAAGTACAGATCCTGGGATGTGACACCCTAATTTTGCAACAATAATCCCGTCAGCCAGAGAGGAAACGCCTCAGATCCCAGGAAGCGCGGGAACAACTAATCCTCTTACCCCTTCCGTCCGGTACCGCTACTTGGCAAAACCTCCCAGCAACGGCCCAAGTCGAGTGACTGGGCAGCGGACACTGGCCAGCTGTTGGGTGCCCCGTACTCGAGCCCACGATCAGACACCGAGCCCGGGCACGGCGAGTGCTGAGCTATTCTGCTGTGGCTGGCGCGTGGGGGCGGCTCTGGCAGTGGCCCTGGCCAGACCACAGGCCTCATTTCAACGGGACAGTTACCAGTCCATCGGCTCCCCCCGCCCCAGCAGTCTGGGGTCGTGCCATGAAGGACAACGGAGGCCTACGCCCCAGGGACAGGGCCCCGGCTCAGCCAAACAACGTCACGGAGACCCGAGCCCAGGTAACACGTGGGCAGAGGGCTGCGGCCGCCTCTCCACGGCAAGCAGGACCGCGGGGGGCTGTCAACTACCCGACCACTGCAGTGGCATCAGGGCTGGGTCTGGCGGTGAGTCTGAAGCTCCCGTGGGTGGGAGTGGGCTGGCCTTGGCCTCTAACCCGATTCTCTGCACTAAGACCTGCCGGTCTCCCGGGATCTCGCTCAGTGCAAGGCTGCCGCTGGCCTCATCCTGCACGAGGCAGTGAGACAAATGGAGCAAACCTGGCCCCGGCCGCCACAGGCGGGGCTGATCAGTCCGAATAACACGTTTATGTGGAAATCTGAGGTAAGCGGAGAGGCTGTGGGGGAGGCCTAACGCCTGGGCGTCCTCACCAAGAACCTCCCTGGCCACTCTACTCGGGCAGCTTCTGCTGGTCGTGTTTGCAGAGAGCTACCCTGAAAGATACAGTGGCCTCACCCCCAAAGGCGATAGGAAGCAGGTTTGCATTCCTAAAAATGGATACCCAAGCCCCTCTCAAGTTCCTCCTGCGATGCCAACCCACTGCGTGCACAGCGCCTGTCCCCCAGGGCCGGGGAGCAGGGCACCCACGAGACGACATGGCTTCTGCTGTAGTGAAGTCTGATGTCTGCTCTGCTGGCGCCTGTGAGCCAGCAGGCCAGCTTGGCAGCCCCCACAGGGCACAGTCCTCCCAGAGCAGGGCTAGTCTGACGGCCAGTCCAGACCTCCACCCTCTGTCCAGCCCCTCTGGCCTCGGCGCGCCATCTCTGACCCCTTCCTCCTGCTACCTCACGGTCCCCCCCGCCTCCTCCACCGTGGCCTCCGGCCCCCATCTGAGGTGAGAGCAGGTGCAGGATGGGCAAGCGCAGCCCGCCGGGGCCTCAGCTGAGGGCAGTGGGCTGGCCTTCACCTTATAGGGACCTTCAGTCTCTCACCGGCCCCCTTCACTGGGGTCTGCACCACCTGCTCTGCTAAGCCATAGCAGGCCCCCCGAGTGCGGGATGTTCCTGGCCCCAGACCCGGGCGCGTCTGGCTCCCCAGACCTGCAGCCCCTGCCACACTAGGGCCAGCAGAGGCAAAGCAGACAAGGTCACAGGCCCCACTGCTCACCTCGGCGTGGTCTACTTTAAAGGGGTTCTGGAAGTCGGAGTCTTTCTCGCTGATCCCCAGCTCCTGGGCCATCTGTGGGTGAGGACAAGTGAGTCACCCTCTGCCTTCTCTGGCCTCCTGCTCAGCCCAAGGTCACCCCGCCATCCTGGCACACGGGAGGCAGGAGATGACCCCAGGGGACTCCAGTCAGCACAGAAGTCTTAGACCTGGACTCAGGTCCAGGTTTTGCACAGAAAACAGCTGCCCAACGGCTGATGCTCAAGTGATGGTGGACACAGTCCCGGCCTCTCCAGCTCAGTCCTTACCAGGCTGAGGATGGGCGCGTGGGCCCCCTGGTCAAAGACGCCAGACTGGTTGCAAAAACTGATGCCCCAACGGATGAGGAGGTTCCAGTTGGAATTGTGGTCGAAATAGTGGTGCACAATCCTCGGGAAGCGCAGCACCACGTCACCGAAGAAGGCCGTGTTCTCCACCACCTGGGAGAAAGCTGGCGGGGTGGGAGCTGATGAGCAGGCGCCTTCCCCACCCCACCCCCCGGCTGCTGCCTGGCCAGCCCAGAACAGAGGCCCCCCAAGCCTGCTCCCCGGCAGCCTCCATGCCTGCCCGCGACCCACAGCAGCTCCCCACAGGAACGGGGCGTGCCAAGCGTGAGATATGCGTGCCGGGTTGGGACTGAGACAAGTGGGGCAGAGACCCCGGGACCTCCAGGAACACAGGAGCTGGCTCAGTGACCAGGTACAAGCTGGGAGAGCCGCTTGTCCTGGGAAGGGAGGAAGTGCGGCCCTCCTGGGTGACACAGCAGCACCACCTAAGACCCTGGATCATTCACTGGTAGCAGTCAGTGCGGAGGGGAGGCGAGAAATTCTGGAAGGCGGAGGAGGGACATAGACCGTTTTCCCCTTACTTGTCTGTGTGCCTCGTCTGGTTTAAAAAGTGTGTCAGGGTTTATAGGCCCTGCAGCAAGAGCGCGGACCCGCCCCGCTGGCCAGTCCCTTCCATCACCTCAGATTTCCTCCCTTATGAGGGAGTACCCCTTGCCTTCTCCCCGAGATGGGCCAGGGTGGCGGGAAAGATAGGGCGGCTGGGGTTGTGGGCAGAAACTCCCCCAGCCCTTCCCCGCCCCACGCAGGACCACGCAAAGGAGCATGTCTGTGCCAGGCGCCCAGAGACGGGCTCCACGGCCAGCACCGGGGACAACCAGAGACTCAGCCCCCCCCAACACCTCCCAGTCCTGGGGCCCCACTGAGAAGGTGCCACAAGGGCACTTCCATTGCAGGAACAGGAATGACAGGACAGGCGAGAGCCGAGAACCCAGGGTGGGCGGCGCGAGACCAGAGACAGGTACCATCTTTCAGTTTCTCGTCCTGGGGGAAGGGCCCCTCTGGGAGCACGTCGGCCGCGGTGAGCGCTGTCCGGGAGTCCTCCAGCACCTGTGGGAACCCGGTGGTGAGCGGCTTTGCAGAGCCTGGCCTCTTGACCGCAGCCCCTTTGAAGGCAGTTCAGTTACGAACCCCTGGGCCCCCACGCCTGCCCTCCGGGGGTGCAAGGGGGTGCAAGACTGCCGCTCGCACCTTAAAGAGCCCCTTGAGCATGACGTCAAGGATCTTGTACTGCTGGTGGACATCGTTCAGCTGTGCCAGGTTCTTCAGTGCCAGGAGCTGCTCCCGCCGCTTCACCTCAAACATCTTCTTGTCTGGGCAGCACTAGGTTAAGGGGCTGCCACGGACACTCTGCCCAGACATCCCAGAGTCCAGTCCTGACCAGCACGTGTCCGTGAGGGCCGCAGAGGTCCCAGGTTGGGCCTCGCAGGGAAAGAGCGGGCTGCCTGCCAGGGAGCAGCCCGCAGTGTGTCGTCGGCCCAGACACAGCCCACCAGAGTGCCCTCCCCTCGCTGTGGCTCCCGCCAGAACCTCACGCCGCCACTCACGCACACTCTGCCCCGATGCTTCTCCCCCAAACGCCCCCGCCCCCGTCTCTGCCTTCCTAGGCATCAAGACCCGGTTCAAAAGCCACAGCGGTGTCCCCCACGTCCCCTGTGTTACATCAGAGGACATCAGAGCGGATGGTCCAGTGTGCCAGGGCCTAAGCCTCCATCTGGGGTCTCGCTCACAAGGTGCTAAGCCCTTGAACAATCCCAAGAGACCTCGTGGCTCTGAGAAACATTCCTTACCTTCTCCATTTAGCATACAGATTCAGAAGAGACTGA